CCACGTTTAAGGTTATTTTTTCCTTTTTCAAAACGTGGTTTTTTAGATTAATTTTTTAATCTACTAAATTTTTTTGTGCTTTTTAGTCTTACTTGAAAAACGTGGTTTTTTAGATTAATTTTTTAATCTACTATAATTATTTTATTCTTTTAAAAAAATATTCTTATAATTTTTCTTTTCACAAAAGATTGCATTGTCATCAGTTTCTAAGCTATCCTGAAAGTTTCAGCTTGCTAGCTAGTCAGGAAGTGAGCAAAATTTGAGTTGCAAAATTTGAGTTGCAAAATTTGATCCGGACAAACAAACGGACAAGAAAGCAAGTTAATAAAAACGTGTTAAAAATAAAATAAAAGTTCAATAACTGTATTTAAATTGCCATGTCAAAATTTTACCAACAATAACTTAAATAAGATCGAAGCACAATTTAAAATCCAAACGAATTTGCTCACAAAAATGGCTGAAAAGACAGGAAAATATCTGTCAAATTTTTTCTTCTCAATTGACTTTTAAAATCTAGAAGAAAAAATTTCACCGAAAGTATACTGACGATACTTAGAAAAATAAAAGAAAATTTCAAGAACTGTAATTAAATTGCCATTTCTTGGTTTTACTAAAAATAAGATCGAAGCACAATATAAAGTAAAAACGAATTTTCCTTGAAAAATTTGCTGGGAAAAATAACAGGAAAACGGATGTCAAAACATTATCTTCCCAATTGATCTCTAATATCTAAGAGACAAAAATTGCATCAAAATTATCCTGTTGATGAAAAAATTGCCATATTTCAAACAAATATGATCAAAAAATGTCGATGAAAAATACTGCAATGTTTCAATCTTTCAAACTTGAACGTTCGAAAAAATGTCGGCTTCTGCGATTTATTGAAAAAAAAATAATATTACGGCGATCAAAAATTTCAAACCAAAGCGTCGTGATTTATACGCAAATTTTGCACTTTAAAAATCCCTGTTTTTCAAAAATGATCCGTCTGAAAAAGAGAAAACAATTTTTTTTTTTAATTTACCTGTTCAACAACGCCACTGACGTGCTGATACTCGCAAAAATCGGCGATATTTCGCACGTTCTCGATGCCGAAAATCAAAGCCTTCCACAGCCCGAGGAAAGTATCGCCAAACGAGGATCTTTCGGAAACTGCCAAAACAACGGCCGCAGCTCGGATCCGAACTTTCAAATTTTTGAAATCCGTCATCAACGGTTGCAATTCGCACGTAGCTTCCTTCGACCATCTTTCGAGAGTTGAACTATCCAAATTTTCATTTGACAACGCGCAGCTTATGGCGTAACAAGAATTCCATCTTGCCTGGAATCATAAAATACGAAAATATATTTAGAAATAAATTGAAATCGTAAAATATATTTTTAAAAGTGCCTCTTCACACGTACCTTCATGTCTTTATCACAGAGAGCACGGTCGATCAAACGCCGATATCCAATATTTGCCAAGTCCATTACTTTCGGGTTTCCGATCCAGTTTTCAGAGAATACATTTAATTAGGCCACCGATTGATCTCACGGCACTGTGACGAACCTGAAAATAAAACAAATTTGCATATTTAATGCGTTAATCAAATCAATCATGTTTTTGTACACCGTACGTCAAATAAAATAACATATTTTCCGTTCATAATCGAATCATGAAGAGGTTTGGGAGGATCAATATTCACGGTTAGAGATTCGAAATCCCCTTTCCCCCCTACCCCATCTGCCTTGTTCTATTCTTGCTCTCATTGTACTTCTGATGCTTGTTGGTTGAATGTATGCTACCTATTGTTGCCTATACTTGTTGAAAACAAGAAATAAACACTTCCATTATTTTATAGAATAAGGATTAGAAATCTGTTCACCAAAATAAGTTGTCATGCAGACTTGAATTAAGAATACCTTACAATGGTAAGTACTGTACTGTATGCAAGTGTAAAGACTTGAGAGACATCAAGAGGACTCTACATTTACCCAACATGAGTTGAAGTCTGATAACAACATAGACAGGTATAGAGAAGAATATAGCATTTGTAAACATTTTCCCTTTGAATTTTCAAATAAAATCCATTCAAAATGTGGGATGCCAGAAACTAAGTTCCAATTGATTGGATATTGCTACTGTACATATTGCTACAACAGTGAGACCCCCACATGCGGATGCCTTGACCTGCAGACAATTCAACATAGGGACACTTTTATTCAAAGAAAAAAATCAATAAATAAGACCCAACATGAGGACACTGACTCAACATAGGGAAATTTTGTGATAAAATTGCAAATACATTTCAGGCCAAATTACAAGAAACAGATATTTCCAAACCTAAAATTGATGTAAGAAAAGTTCTTGGGCATTTCTCTCACCAAATTACCATCCATTTAGCTAATTAAAAAAAAATTACCTTCAGCATAGAGGGACTTCTACTTTTTTTCACTTGAATGTTATTTTTGTAGATGCCAAAATTTCAGTGTACAGTACAGAGATACATTTCAATGCTCCACATGTTCTTATTGAGTTGAAAATGTATTCAAAAATTCAAATTCAAGTGGCAAACAATTTTTTTGGGGAATTCTGAAGAATATTTCTTCCACAAAACACCAATTAAAAATTATACAATGTAAGTCTATGGGAAAACAAGACTCGACTTTGTGACATTTTGACTTGGGGACACTCTTGAAGCACCAATTACATCCGCATCTTGGGGTCTCACTGTATTTTGAATGATGCAGAAATTTGGTAAATCAAGTCACTTTTCAGTCGCAAAGTTAAAATTATTTTATATATACAGGTAGACTCTCTCCACAACAAAATTCAAGACACTCAAGAGAATTTGTTGAAGATAAATCCTCCCATACTGGGAGAGGACCCTTTGCCCTATGGGACTGAAAAATGATTCTTTATACTGTACATTACAGAGAAAATCCCTCTAGACAAAGAAAGATGTAGAAAGCGTCGACTCGTGATGCATATTTTTTAAAACTATATTTATTGAACATTACATTTTGGAGAGATAAACTTTACTACTGTCAATCGTGACCAAGATACAAGACTCGTGCAAATAATAAACCTTGAAATTGTGCTTCTCTTCGGTTCCCAACACAGCTTCGTTCAAAATATCCAAATAAACGTTCAGGGGAACGACGTTGTCCAGAGATTCGCACTCTCCTCGCTTTTCCCGACTCGTCCAGGCAACTAAGGCATCAGTCACATTCCCAAGAGCCCAAGCAGCATTCACTTTGACTGTATGCGACTCGGAATTCAAACCGGCTTTCACAGCGTTGCAAACGTCCAACACAAAGCTGTCATCCTGTTGAAAAAAAAAATTAAATCTAAAAAATGTTCAAAAAAAGCTGGAAAAAAATCCTAGAACCTCACAATAGGATGGGCTAAATGGTACATTTTTTTCAAAGTGGAATCTAGTTTAGAAATACCCCAAGGTCAATCAGAAGTGGGACAACCCTCATACATGGGAAAAATTACAAAGTAAAACCTCAATTTACAAGTGCATTAATTTACTTGTACTGTACATCATTTGTTCTGGCACATTTTGTGGCACTAAGCAAGGTTTCAACTAAGCACAGTGGCACCTTAGTAAAAGAAAAAAAACCACTCAGTTAACAAACTTTTTTCGGGGAGAAACCTAAAACTTTAAAATCCAGAATAAGATATTAAGGATGAAATGTATGGTGAAATCTAAGCGCAAATAATTCACCTAAGCACTAATATGAAAGTTCTTCCTTTTGGCACTCTAATACATGTGTAATCCTGTGTTTTAAATACATTATTCACATATGCTTTTTCGGGGACAGAATAAAGTGCTTTTCTGTGCTTTGTTTTTCTAGTCAATATATCAATATAGAAAGGTCTATTTGATCTTTACTGCATTTAAAAATATTGATTTCATTTTCACCTGAAATGTATCCTACAGTGTGTGTTTCTTTGCAAGTGAAGCTTTTTTGTCTTTGTTTTCATCAGTGCTACTTCTATATAACACTGTAAGAACATTCTGAGCTCATATAAGATGCAGCAACAACTTATTCTGATTTTAGTTGATGGTGCTGAACTTTTTATATTCAATGTTCATTTGCCTTTTGGGTTCACAGAATGGATTAAATGCTGCCCCCTTGAAGTCTTACAGGAAAATAAAATTTGGTTAACCAACTTTTGTATGGAACCAATTAAGCTTGTTAACTCAGGGTACACTGTGAAGGGTAAAAACAAGATTAAGTTGAGGGTTTCTACTGAAGGCAAAATAACCTTATTCACAGAATATTTTGGCCACTGAGTCCAATTTACAAGAGAGAAATTGAAAAGATATAAATTGAAGTTCAAATGTACATCTTTTATACTGTATTTTGACACATTTAATAAGACAGCATATATCAAATTTTTAACCAAGTTGTGTCAAGTAAAAGGGCAGAGTTGTTTCTCCAAGTTTTATTTTTATTTTACGTCAGGTACGTTCATGCAGGAATCCAGGAAAATTTCAACTTTATAAAATTTCATGGACGGTGCCATGCAGCAAAAAAAAATAATTCAAGCACGTTAATTAAGAAATTGCATGTTTAAAGTCGTCCCGAGTTTTTACGCGAGCATAAGCACTTGATTCTCAGTAATAACCCAACGATATTCCTAGATATGGACCTCAATTTCTTCGATTTTTGGCTCATTGTTATGCAGGGCCAGGCATGTTTTTTTTTTTTTTTTTTGCGTTATTGTCTGAATTTGCACTGAATCGGGGTTTCTCTCAAGAATTCAAATCGAGGGCTACTTGTCCAACGGGGATTTGTGACACTAAATTGAAGGTTGAGTGACGTCTGTACCTCCATCAAGGATGGAAGCAAGACGTAGATCCCGAGTCCCCGGATCGCTGAAGCCCGGGCAGTCGGAAGTTCGTCATAAGCTTGACCCACCAACAGGGACAAACACATGAGTCGCATTCGGGATGGCAGAGATTCCAGGACCGAGTCTCCGATGGCAGCCAAACAATCACAAGCAGATGCTCTGAGACACGCCAAGTCCAGCTTTTGGAACAACGTCGGCAACGGACCAGAAAGCAACTCCAGCCAAAACTTCTCCTGTTGAAAAATTCCATAATTATGTAAAAAGTTATTTCTGAAAACAAAATTAATTCAATCAACACCTCAAGGATAACTGCCAGGACTGGAAAAAATTATTCGTAAGCAAAAAATCGTTATAACGAAGATTCTACTTCAAAATTATGAAAGTTGACAAAAAGTAGGATCTTGATATGGCAAGATTTAATGAGAATCTATGCTTCCAACAAATTCGCTTCTTTGGTCCCTGTCAAATAGCAACAATAATGTAATCAAAAATTTCGTTTCAACAAATTTCAATTTATAACACAGCTTTTACAAGGTCCCAAAAGCCTTTTTAGTAACAAGATTCTACCGCATTGCATTTTTATCAAAAATATTGGCAAAGTTTCTGCATCTCCAGACATCCGGTTTTGTTTTCGGGGTTCAAGTGTCCCCAAATCGAATCGTCCGTATGTCGGGGCCGTAATGTCCTCATTTTTTTTTATCTCTTACAAACCTGTCGCTCTGCACTGAGCGTTTCCCACGCCGCTGGTTGGCCATCCGTCAAATTTTTGCCAAGCATCAGAACAGAGGCGACAGTCGGAATAAATTTGGCAACATGCAGCTGAATTTGCGGAGACGCGAGTCCCTTGACCAGAATCCGCTTCAAGTCGGGCCAATGCTCCTGGTCCCGTCCAATCAAGTGAGTTGGATAATGCTTGCAAACTTCGTTCAAGACCCCCAGGCACTGAATCACTTCAGCAACTATGGGCTTCACCTTTGAAAAGGATACAAATGGATGCTTTCAATGATCTAGTCATAAGAATTGTTACTAAAATATAAACAGCACTTTGGAGCATACCACCTGGTACTAGTTAACAAACAGAAAATACAAACCTAACTGAAACACATAATTCAAGTAAGAATCTTCCACAAAATCAACCCTGAAGATAATGATCTTCAGGAATCATTCCACCAAGTGAATCATCACTTGGTCAAAAGGAATTAGCAAGAATTACAAACACAAAAATTAGACACAACCTCAGTGGAAAGCCTTAGACAAACTTTCCACTGAGGAGGACCTGAACCTGAGCAGACTCATCACAAGAAGGAATCAATCCTGATCTAAACCTCAGAGAGACCAGACCTGCTTTTGTGTGTGACATTTCTGAACCTGATATTATTGGAAAAGAACATACAGTTTGTTGAGGAGTTTGAAACCCTCAGGCTGCAAACGGCCAATTGTGTCTACCACACTTTATTTCACTAAAATCCAAGTCTTTGTCAGTGACCCCCAACACTCAACTGTACCCTACTTTCTTCCATTATTCTAAAAGCCTTTCTACTTCATTCTCCTTCTTTGTTTGTTGCAACAAAGTATGCCAACACCAACCCAAGTTGGTTGCTATGCCCAACATTGACCTCAACTATGTGAATTTATAAATACAGGTGTCTCCTATGTTGGACCAAGCTTACTGTTACCAGACTTTGCCGCAAAAACCTTGTTGTAATTGCTCTGCTCTGTAATACTCATTTCTCTCACTGTGTGGAAAGATTGAATAAAGCACTTCAGTATAAAAAAAAACCTCTCTTCCAAGTATTCTTTGAAAGATTGCAGAAAAGGATTACAATCTCCAAACCCAAGTCAAAGATTGTTAGAACTATTTAAAAATACAAAGGTCAAGGTACCTGATCAGCAGTTTTGGGATACAATTTACATTTTCTCACACTGATTAAGGCAACAATGATGACATAACAACTTCAATAAAAGATCAGATGACAAATAATTTCACATTCTGATCAGAGATATAAATTCAAAATAGACCTCGGTAGTTTCAAAAACGTCAAGGGGGGAGAAGAAAAAAAGAGTTCGCGTCAAACCCGGGGATCGAGTTTTCGAAAAGATATTTTCCTTTTTTGTTGGCAAATTAGGGCAATGATGACAATTTGAGCGAGAAGCTCACTTTTCCACCGTCTTCCTCAGCACTCAGGGCTTCCAACACTCGTCCGCAACAGTGGACTACGACCCAAGATTCATCGTCAAGCGATTCACACAAGACTTCTTCAACTTCCTTGACATTCGGGTGACATCTGATCATCGTTCCCAAAACAGTGAGCACGCCTACAGCCAGACTATTGCTTCCTCCGCCGAACTGATTCATCCCTGAAACGATCGAAAATGTTAAATTTCACACTTGATCTCCATTTTCGAAAAGAGAGGAGGAAAGAAAAAAAGATACCTTTCACATAATCAAACATTGATCGATTTCTGTTCATTTGTAACATTTCATTGAATTTTTCTTTCCCTTACCTCGAGGAGTCCCAGGCAACTCTCAGAGGAGCACCGGGATCTTTTACAAAAAATAACTCACGATTTTGAGGGGCAAGGAATTTCTTGATGTCGCTCACGAGAGCCTTCAGCAACCCCGCGTGTGCAAATCTGCGAAATGGCGTCAAGGCCACGAGGGTGTTGATGGTATTGAGTATTTGTATCAACGTGATGGGTGATGTTTCTTGAGCCACTGCCAAACGAAGGCCCTTGTGCACTTCCATCAGACTTTCGCCCAACTCCACAGCGAATGGCGTGAAGGCTTGCGTTCCTCTCCTGGAAATTGAAATTTGAGAAAACCCGTTGAGAATATTTCACCATCATTTCGCATATTGACTTCATAAACATTCACGAAAAAAAAGCATGAGCAAATGATGGATCTTATTCCCTGCAAATGATGGGATTGTCTCGTCTCTCTGTTTCAACCTGAGTGAGTAAATTTTGGAAATATTTACACAACACAACATAGAATTATGTCCATCTTCCGCTCAGGCCTCATTCTTTCAGTGTTTCAAAAAAAAAAACAATATACAGTAAAATCTCATTACAACAAATTCTGTTTTAAAAAAATTTTTCTGCATAACAAACTTTTTTCCAAGTCCCAGCAGAAATCTTTTAGCGGAAATGTTATGAAATTCTTGTTACAACAAACTTGCCAATTCCAGTGCAACAAATTTCTTGGGGGAAGGTGTTCCAATTTCCTAATGAAAGAACCCCCAATGAAGGCAGACACAGTCTCACATTTTCCTTTCAAAATGTGACTGTGACTGATTCTTGGGACATAATAAGGGGGAATCATTCAAAAACACCCACATATCAGCAAAAATGTACACATCAACTTATCTTGAGCCTTATTAGATTTACTGAAATTGGGTATGGGAATTCCTCATCCAGGATAATTTCAGACCTCTTGACTGATTGCCTGCAGAACAAACTCCAAGGATTCCACAAAAAGTTTGTTTACACTGAACAATTTTTTTAAAGAGATATTGAAAAATGATGACTTTAAAAAATGTATCAAATTAGACATGCATGTATTGCATGTGATAAAATGTTCAGTCATCTTGCTCTCCTGTCATTTTGAAATTTATTCTTATTGTTTGAAAATTTGCACAATCTTTATTCTGAACAAAACACTAGGGCATTAATTAAAAAGCTGTTGTAACAAGATTTTAATCTGCAGTTTAACCTCAATAACTTGAACCTCACCAAATTACCTCCATACGTCAAGTATTTTTTCAACTCCCTGCCCAAATTCCCTAATAAAAATGGACAAAAACATGCCCTAAATCAAATATTTTCTGGGAGCCTTTTGGCAATTATTTCATCAACACAGGAAAGATAAATATGTCAATTGATATTTGTTTTTGAAAGGAAGTGAAAGGCTATTTGGGAAAATGAAGTCTTGCCTCCAAGTTTGGCATGTTGTCAGCTCATTCATGAAGCAATTCAAGCCCCAGAATGCAGCATCACCAATTACAGTATCATGAAATTCTTCATTGTTTACTCAAAAGATTTTTTTTTGATTCCTTGAAGTTTGTTTGTACATGTGTTCACAACAGCACTTTTTTCAATCTCAAATGTTTAAAGAAACATTGCACAAAACATACAACACATAAAACACACTCTCCAATGTTCTTGCTTTAATTTATTGCTGCCGATTGTAAATGGAGCAGGGCATAATTTTTTTGCACTGGAACTTTTCCTTTCGAGAGTGTCAAAGACATTGTGCAGAAGTTTTGGCACTCCATAGGAAAAGGATTTTGTTTTTGAAAGGCAAAACCTCCCAAAATGGTTTTCGCTGCTTGGCCCTTAAAATTTGACTGAGATAGAGGTTCTATTGTTATGACTACAATGTGAATGGCAGTATTAAAAGTTCCCTCCTGATTTCATATTTTGTCATGCCTTGTTGAACTCAGTGTGCAACTCCACCAAGCATTCAGTTGCTACCCAGAAAATCTTTCTAAATAATTCTTGCTCTTTTGTTAATTGCGCAACAATTTATGTCAACACCAATCCAAATTGGTTGCTACATGCATTATTCTGCGTCATTGTTTGCCCAAGATTATAACTATCGGCGGTTCCTGTAGTCACACAGGCTTCCATCACCAGACTTTGCAGCAACACCTTGTCTGCATTGCTCTGCTCTGCAGTACAATATACAGTACTGTATATCTTTGTATGAAAAGGATAATAAAAGATATTCTGCTGAATATCTTCTGAAATTATTTTTTCTACTCTTCAAAAGCACATAGAAAACAATTTAAACCTTTGAGACCAAATAGTTCTTTAACTTGGTTGAACATTTATCTGTCCAAGACATGAGTAAATTGTCTCGCCAGCAATTGAAGGTCAGGGATTAGCATTTGTTCATGATGCCAGTTGAGACAACAATTTCTGTACCTCTCTTCTCCCACAGCAATGAACAACTTGCACTGCTTCAAGTAATGATCCAACGCCACGGCAGCAGAGAACCTGCACTTGCAACTCGGCTCACGCACCAACGCAGAAACCAGAGTCCAGCAATCGTTGTCAATCGACTCATTCCCAGCACCACTAGTAATAGTAGTATTCGTAGTAAGACGACCTTCTGTTGCCCTAGGCATGAAAGCCCACCAATACGAAGTCACGGCTTCCTTGGACAAACACTTGAAGGCGGCTCTGAGCGCTTCTAAACTCTCGCGACGCACTCGGGCTTCAGACTCCTTGGGCTTCGTCTCCACATCCGAGACTTCCGAGTCGGAACTGATGAGGACGGAAGAAGGGACACCGTTTCCGGTTGATGATGATGATGATTCGATGTTGGTTAGCCAGGTCTTGGTGTTACGCCAGGTCGTGGTTGCCATGGGGTTCAACGAGTTCTCTGCTAGCCACTCGGTTGGGTCTTCGGACCAGAACCGCGGGTCCCGTTTCTCGGGCTTGGATTCCCCGGGTTTCGGGTTATTTTCTTTCGCGTGTTTACCGGCTTTCTTGCGACCCCCGCGGGAACGTTTGGTTATTTTCGACGCCGTGAACGACTGAAAATGAAAAGAAACATTATACACACACCGTCAACATTTTAAAAAATCAGGGAATCGAATTTTTCATCAAAGCGTTTGTCAAATCAAACGTCGATCAGCTCGTGGAGATGAACGAAAAAATTCTCAAGTGCATCACACAATGTTTGAGTAAAAAAACGAGGTTGAAAATTTTCCCAACTTTTTCATCGCACATATAAATTCGGATAATTTCTCCGTTTTATTGAAATTCGGGAATCAATTTCTGGAATACATTTATGTTCATAAAAATCGCTGGGTCTTGTATATAACTATTACATCTTCTTTTTTTTCCTAGATTAAAAAAAAAATTCAGGGTAAGATCAAACCTTGGAGGCCTCCACCTGAAATTCGCGGCGCAATTTTTACAGGGCCGAAATCACGCGTGAAAATTACTCCAATTTTTTTCGTGGATTTAAATTAGTATCATTTTCCTTTTTGTTCAAATTGAGATGCGAAATTATCGGGGCTCAATTTCTGGAATATATTTAAATTTATGAAAGCGACCAAAGAAATTGATGGGTTCTGCACAACGATTGAATTTAATTTTTAAATTCAATCACTGAACGATTAAATCTCAAAAAATAAAAGATTCAGATTTGGATCAAAGCTTGGAGGACTCGAACTAAAATTCGCAGTGTTTCAAAAAAGGATCACAGAGTCAAAATCAAGCATGACAGCTACACCATTTTATTTTTCCTTGCAGATATTAATTCGCATGCTTTTGTTCAAATTGAGCTACGAAATTATCGGGGCTCGTTTTCTGGAGAATATTCATGCAGCATTTACGAACGAGCCTTGAAAATTGCTGAGGCTGGTATACAAAGAGAAAATCTTATTTTTGTCTCGGCAAAATGAACAGTCAGGGTTAGATCAAACCTTGGAGGACTCGGCAGCAGTTTCAATTTCTTCCACGTCCACCTTTCCGAGAGAAGAGGGAACAATCGGCGGTGGGATTTGGAACCGATACCCGGGCAAGCCATAAGAACACAAGTGCGTCAGGGTTCCCAAAAGGTGGGCCACGGGGTCCACGCCAACTCCAGAGGTCAACAACAGCTGCAGGGATTTCAAACCCAGCTTGCAAATCTTTCAACGCAGAAGAACAAAAAACGTTCAATGAAAATTCTTCAATTCACAATTTTTTTTTTTCTTTTCAAAAGAAATAAAAACCACAACAAATCGTCGAGCGCTTCTCACACGCGGGTACGAAATGCTCTATGATGGTCACAAAAAATGGCCGCTTCTCGCAATTGAACACCACCGCAGAAGAATCACTCAACACACCTTCGCGCTTTATTTGAAATCACACTTCGGAACACACCAGAAAAAAGAACTGACCTTCGCCAGAACTATACTGTCTTCCCCAACGGACGGTTTGTACGAGAAGCTCCCCAGGATATGGTCAAAATACCGCCGGAATTCCACCTTGTCTCCCAGCGCCACAGCCTTCGTTTCGACGAAGCTCAACCGGAGGAACGCGTGGAGGCATCTTTGGGCTTCGAGTCGCTTCACTCCAGGGATCCCGTGATCTCCAATCACGGCAAGCACCGACTTCTCCGCCAGCACCCACGACTTCAAAAGCTTTCAAAAAGTCAAGAAAAATTCGGGTTTTGAATCCACACATGAAACATATTACACACGTTTGCGTCCAATGACCTTTTGAAAAAGCAACGAACCTTTTCGTAATCTTCCCGTTTGCTGATGAACTGTTGTTCGAGCTGACGCAAATCCGGGCGAGAAAAGGACATGCTTCTACACTACGCTCGCATCTTTTCCTGGAATCATAAAGCGGAAAGAAAACCAGGCGAGAAAAATACACAAATCGGAACTCGATCCAGGTGACGTGGTTTCCGCGGAAAAATCGTCATCAACTTCTGAACTCGATTGAATCACGCTTCTAAATTGAACCACTAGCCCAAAAGTTCAGAACTCGAACGACGAACCGCAAGAAACGAGACTAGCACTCAAAATAAAGATAGACACCGAGACTTGCAAGAATAAGTTTTCATTCGCACGTCACGTACGATCATGCACTCATCCGAATCCGAAACAACTAAAATAATTCCAAGCAATACGCTTTATCCTCACTGGGAGCATAATCATCCGAAGTCCATGCTGAAAATCATAACCCACCCAACCTATACCCATGGTGCTTCGACGAATTCAAAAAAACCGTGTTTCGGATATTGTTTCACAGCATTTTGCAGAGTGCAGCACGAGAACACAACCTGAAAAGCAAATTTTCCGCACACGCGACGAGAAAATTCTGGAAATGATTCAAGAAGAGGTGAAGTCGAGAGATCTCCTGTCACACACATGAAGGCGTTTTCACTAATTCGAAAAAAAAATCACTGTTCTTCCGATTTTTGAGAGAACTGAACAAACGAGTCAATGTTTTCCTTTCACTGATTTCAACTCATTCGAGTCTTCTTATTTACGTATCAAGTAACAAGTTACGCAGTCTAAGGCAAGGATCAAATTTATAAACTTACTGCATTGAACATGCATTCTTCGAACCTGGAACTACACATTTTCATGACATTGAAAAAAAACGAAGGATACGCTATTCCTGTCTTCAGAACTACAGAATTTCCTCACCGAAGACTTCATTTTCACATGCTTGGTTTCTGCAAGGTATCTGTCAAGATTTGTCAGAAAGACATTAAGCTTTTCTTGGTCTTATACTCGCAGGCCGGCGTTTGAAAAATGAAGAAAATTGTTGCGCATCCGAATCACATTCTGAGATGGGGCAAGAAAATTTCAACTTTAAATCGTGCAGCTTCTATGGCGATGATCCCAACTGACAAACAGGAACATGCTCTCAGTAATCTTGAGAACAAAAAATGTTGGTCGCAAACCATTAAAGCTCTCAGAGAAGAGCCCAGCCCAGGAAACAGAAAAATATTATTGTATCCATCGGTTCAACGAGATTTCGTCCCTTACAAAATGGGACCCAGAGAAAGGGTGGGGGATGAGAATGGGACCCAGAACTCTGGTACAGAGGAAGTTATGGACAGTCTGAGCAAATATGGAGATTAGCAGCACTGACCCATTAAACCCAAAATATATTTTTTTTCTCCTTGGGTGCAGGTACCTTCAAGGCCACTGGGATTGTGGGGGAAATTTCATGTTCATGCCATTGGGTATTCAGGAATAATTTGTTCAATGAAAAACTTGAAAATATATAGATACAGTATAATTAAATTCAGCATACATTTTTCTGGCTCGATTGTGTATGCTGGATTTGTTCATTGAAATAAGAGTCTTGTTTGTTGAAAAACCAGAGGTGAAGTAAAAATGGTATCCAATACCCTAATTTTGGAAGAAGCATCTGAACTCTTCACAAAATATATGAAGAGAATTAATATGAATCAATCCACAATCTACAGTACCTTCACATATACGATGGTGGATTGTGTATGGTAGGCATAAGGTAATTATCTGGTATTTTATACACATGATGAAGATGATTCAGAAGTATTCATTGTAGGATAGTTTGCCTGTATACAGTAACACAAATTTGCCTGAACAAGGCAAATAATTACATTTCTGCACTTGCACAGAGAACTTGGAGACTGAAACAGACAGCATCACTGTCTGTGATGATTTCATCAGAGGGGGATTGGAAATCCAAAAATTCATGCAGACTCCTTACATGAAGGAGGAAACACTGACAGTTAAGGAACATGAGAGGACAAGTGGCTCCAGAAAACCCTGGAACTCAATGTGGTTTAAACATCAGTTTGAAAAGAATTATACCATAAATTGGATGAGGACACAAGTAAAAAAGCATGCAAGGAAATGAGTCACACTAAAATGAGTTGGGTAGACATGTTTTAGTGGACAGCAGGAAAAATGAGCACATGGTGACAGTGTCCAGGTCAGCATTTCTGGTGTGAAATTGCTGTACATGGCACAAATGGGTTTGATTTTTCCAAGAAGGAAATTTGGACTGTACTGGGGGTTGTTCACCAAGACCTCTTCTACATTTATTCTTTGGGCAATAAGTGGATCTATTATGAAACATACTTCATGTTTACTACTCCTATTTGAGCATATAAGCAATTGACACTTGCAATATCCTGGAAATGCTACAGGTTTTTTAACCAGTATATAATGTCCCAAATCTTCAGTAATCGTAGCTGTCAGCAACACCATAACCAGTGCTATAGCTGTTGTCATAGTTTGAGACACCATAATCAGCAGCACCAGAATAGTCATTGTTATAGTCATCATTCCCATATCCACTGACTCCACCATATCCGCTGACTCCACTGTATCCATCACCTGCAATATAATAACCATTCCAGAGTTTGATCCCTCATCAGCAATAACACCTTTCTGTCCTTACTGTAATCATCATTGTCATAGCCAGCACCATCATAGGCAACACCACTGTATCCAACATTGTTGTATCCATCATTATAGCCTGTTGATCCATAGCCTGTTGATGCATAGTCAGTTGCACCATAGTCTGATGCACCATAGTCTGTTGCACCATAGCCTGTTGCACCATAGTCTGTTGCACCATAGCCTGTTGCTCCATAGCCTGTTGTTGCTCCATAGCCTGTTGTTGCTCCATAGCCTGTTGTTGCTCCATAGCCTGTTGTTGCTCCATAGCCTGTTGTTGCTCCATAGCCTGTTGTTGCTCCATAGCCTGTTGTTGATCCATAGCCTGTTGCTCCATAGCCTACATTGTCATAGCTTGTACTGCCATAACCAGTGCCACAGCCGGAGTGTCCACAACCTGTGCCATAGCGGTTGTGATGTACAGAGCCTAGTCTCCTATGATTGACTGCTCCCTTATAATTGACTGCTCCCTTACGATGACCGACTCCCTTATAACCACCTACTCCATAACGATTTCCATGGAGTCTATTATTGTAACCAGCCACTCCTTTGTGGCCTACATTCCTGTGACGAATGCCGCGATGTGCATCTGAAAATTGGATGCTCATGTGTCACATTGCAACTCAATTGATTCTGGAGTGGAACTTACAGCTATTTCCTCTGTGTACGTTCTTCACTGCTCAGGAAAAAAAGGGGAGAGGCAATGGCATGTATTTAAATTCAATGAAATCCTTTCTGGGAATTGCTGATTACCTCGGAGTTTGTTGACCTTGTTGACTACCTTCCTCCTGTGGTTCAATGGTCTGGCTGCTGCAATATATGCCAGGAATATTTAATTAATGCAAAAAATACAGCTGGGGCAAATTTCTGCAATACTCACCTGCATAGGTATTTCGGGCAAGGCGGTTAGCTTCATCAAGGGAGAGTGACTCAGCTATAACAAGAGAAACATGATACACAGTTCCAATTAAGCAATGAATGTCTTCATGAACTTCTTTTTAGATTTGTAGACTAGCAATAATGGATGAAGAACTCATCATTCCCGCAAAGCTTTTTTTTTCTAAGAAACCCTCAGAAATAGGCCTCATCAATTTAACACACTGTAAAATTGATTACAAACTACAGGGTAAGCAGTGTTTTTCAAACATTCCCAGCCCAGAGATCTCCAAATGTGCAGAATTTTGATGCATAAAGTTTTCCAGGCAAAAATATCTGAAATACTGTATGTTTGTAACATACATAAAATGTTTTTCAATACTCTCAAAAATAAGAAATCTGGGTGGATGATAAAACAAGTGGAAGCACTGTATGTAAATGTGGTTGCTGGGAGTGCAGATATTGAAGTAGATAGTTGATGACCCTTTCTATAAGCTGAAGCAAAAAAAAACAGGAAATTGATTGTACAATACAAATTTTCAATTTTGTCTACTTTCTCCTTGCAATTTGACATCAAATGTCCCTTGTCAATTTAATTAATTTTTAAACTTTATACTTTGATAAATTTCAGACTGGGAGAAAGGTTTCTGGAATGGATACCTAGTTGAACATATTCTTTGATCAGTCACAAACAATGCTTAGATGTAAGACTTGGATTGAACTTTTGTTCCCTGAAAGACCATTCTCCATTTATGCTCTTGAATTTTCAGGCACAAGAGGATGTCACAGCATCCCTTTGGGCAGAACCTCAACTATGGGACAATTTTTCCTGGGATGAGCAGCAACACAGTATCAGCTGGCATTACACTAAAAGTCATGGGAGGATGAACAATGGTTCAAAGATAATGATAGATTATCAAGAAATATTATCCAATCAAACTGGAACATCACTGCATACCAACTACACCCTGGTCATTTGAGGCATCTTCAGCAACTACTGCACTGTCCCTGCAATTGCACACAGGAAATAATAAAGAGTTAGTGGTTGAATCTTCAATAACCAGCCAATGGGGAGGCTTACGCTTGGGCCTTTTCCTTTTCTCCTGTTGATTGAAAAAAAGTGTAAAAGTGAGTTTGAGAGGGGTCACATGAAAAGAAACTGGGGAATCAGCTCTTACCTGCAATCAGAGTTGGCAGGACTGTTGCCAACAAGGCACACAAGATATACAATTTCATGTTGCAGGACCTCAAACAATTGTGCTCACAAGTATATCACTTCAAGTCTAAGCTTTGACTCCTTCTACCACCTCACTTCACAAGCTCTAGACTTTTTATAAGCTGGGCAAATAAAAACAGCCCTGTCAGCTGATTTATTTCCCAGCTCTGGACACAGTGTTTTCCATTGGCAAAAAATGCATCCTCAGCACATCCAGTTAGCGATGGGTCAAATGTCACCAATTGTGGCAGCCCCAATTTTAAAAACACCAAGTTTCATGAACTTTAATTAAACAGAGTTCTAAAATTATTTTAAAGATTATATAATTATTCTCTGGGCTGGTCCAGCGTAAGCAGACCATGCCCATGAGAGAAAAAACGCAAACACACACACACATATGTGTCACCAAGACTAGAAAGATGGCAGAAGCCCTTTGGGAAAAAGTGCAACAGAGGCGCTTTCCCTCTCTCCCAGGAAAAAAATGGGCGTGCAACTTTCACCAATAAAACCATCAAAGAATGAAAAATGCAACACACACAAATGTTCATGAAGTTTTCATGATTAAAAATCCAAGGCCAAGGGAAATCAGGCCATGAGGACAAGGGGGTTCATGAGCCAAAGGGCACAGGGAATTGGAAAAATGAAAAAGATTTCAAATCTGAAATCCCACAATGGGTTGGTGGTGAGGAAAAATCTTGTCACTTGGGTTCATGGGGTTTGATGCCTTTCATTGCTCAGATTAATGGGTTCTTACCAAAAGATAAGTTTCTTTTTTATTCTGGGAAAGAGTTGTGGTTTAGAGAAATTGACTTGGAGCTGATTTTGTGTTTGAACTTTGGGATGATAATCATAGTCTGGTTGAATTTCTGTTTGGCCTGAAGTGACAATGTGCAATTTCATTCATTCTGTGTGATTTCATTTATCCTGTGGGATTTCTGCGCTTGACAATTTTGATTTGGTTTGTGAGTACTTTTTTTTAAACATAAAATACCTATTCATTCAAAGAAATAAATATTACACTTAGTCTCCTTAATTGCTGGAGACAGGCTGGCAACCAAGCTGATTGTTGTGCTTCATTTGTATTTCTTGACCAATTCAATTTGTCTCAGTTTTGGAAGGAATACTTCCAAAACAAAAATGGTGGCCAGTAAAATTTTAAAATGAACCAAACTTTCTTCAACTATTTTTAAAATAAGCTACTGGTCCTAGCATTTTATAAATAATTACCAAATATTTTTTTCCCAATCATGAATGCTTTCTTCCAACAGGATGGCTTGTTTGATCAGGAAAGAAATTAAAATCAGGTAAATTTTAATTTAATGCAATTTTTAAAATTGTTTTGGTATGGAAGAAGACACCTCTTGATTTTAACTCCTGATCAGGAGGCAGTGGAATAATTTGTTCTCTATTTGGATGCAGAATTTATTTTTGCAATAACTTCTCTGGAAAAATCCTCCATGCAATTTTTTGGCGCTCTGCTTTTGCATGAGGATGATTCATTTTTCCTGATAATATTTACAAAAATGTGGTATATGGGTAAAAATGTATACAGGCCTACCAGACACAATTCACTTTTCTGCCTTGATTTTACAGAAAAAAGGTACTCAAGGAACTTTTTTATATGTTGTACAGTATCACCCAAAGAACATAAGTCATAAAACATGTGAGGTTTTTCAGCCAATATTTCATATCTTCAGACATTTTGGAATTTATTCCACATCAGTGCCAACAAAACATTGGTCTTCATACCAGCACTCACTGAGAGGAGTATGAGTGCCTCTGCATTCTCTTAACCATGTTATAACAGCATTGGACAAAAAGGAAAAGCATTTTTGAGAATGGTTCATCTCCAGCAGAAATGGAGCATATAAGATAAACAGGATTCACTTCAACTCTGGTTTTTCAACAGACAACACAGGTATTTCAATGACCAAATCCAACATACACAATCAAGCCAGAAAAATGCATGTTGGATTAAAATATAGCTATACTTTTCTTGATTAAATAAATTACACCTGAATAGCCAATGGCATGAACATAAAATTTCCCCTACAATTCCAGTTGCCTCAAAGGCATTTAATTGCTGCACCTGAGGAGGAAAATATATATTGGGTCAGTGCTGCTCATCTCCATCCGTGCTCAGACTGACCATATATACCAGGGGTCTGGTGTCTCCCCCCTTGGGGACTGACTCAATCAAAATTAAAACGCAGTTCAGTAATGTACCTGGGGAATTTCACGGGAAGCCCAAAAATAACGCAGTTTATGATCTTTTACATACACCAAAAAGGGACTTGAAGATCCGCCTACGCAAAAAAACGCCAAAATTAAAATAAGCTTGCAGACGAATTTCAACTTAAAAACTTGCCGTTCTTTTTTTTGTGTAACTCTGCAGAGGTTCATCGGTTATCTTAAAAAGAAAAAAAAAAACGACGGACAGGATCACATTATTTTTAGAAGTGCGTCGGATTTTTGTTATATGTGGTTGGGAAACAATAGAACGAAGCTGGAAATGATGAAGAAGCTTGGATACAAAATAAACCCCTTTGCTGAAAACGACCGGATTTAAATTTCGTGATCAATCCTCCAAACTTTTGAAAATACCCCTTCATGTCGCGCAGGGAGTCGGTTGATACGCCTGCCGGCGACACATTCAAATCGCCGCCAAACTCTCAAAAAAAAAAAAAAATCCACGCAAAAGGACAGAAAGAAAAATGCTAAACCTAAATCCCGACACTCCAAGATTTTGCGAGAGAGAGAGAGAGACCACCCCCCTCTCACAATGTTCATTCTGTTTTTTTTAAACCCCCGTTCAGCCACAGCTTCGAGAATATATACCCTTCAGAGGAGGGAGGGCAATTGAATTTACTCCGTGTGAACATAGGGGTTGTTGTGCTCGTCAAAGGCGGGGTCGTCGTCGGGAACACCGCCCAGCCACGACATGGCCGTGAGGAGCAGAAACAGGGCCAGGGCGCCCATGATCACAAACGTTACGATCCGTCGGGTTCGGTAATTCGGATTCCGCATCAATCTCGGCGATGGTCGCACTAGATCACTGACAACAACAAGAGTGGGGCCTTGAGCAAAAAGAACTTAATTTGTTTTCCACTGGTTTGTTCAATTGCTCAAAGCATTCTTTACGCAAGGCACAATTTCCAACAGTATAACCCACGGAAAATTTTTCAACTGGTTCCAGATTAAAATATCATCAAGTAAAAATGAAGAAAATTAGCAGGAAAAATTACACGAAAATATAAATAAAACATAATCAATTAACGAGTTTCAATGCAAAATTAGTAAAATCTTGCAAAATTAAAAGTACTGCATGAAGGAAATTCAAACTCTATCAGGATTTCAATTTCATTTTGAATTTAAATTTTTTTATTCAAATTTTTGGTTGAATATGAGCATGAATAATTCGAAAAAAAAACGAATTTACAGTGAGTCCCACAGATGCGGACATAATTGGTGCATCAAAAGTGTCCCTGAGTTGAATTGTCCCCAAGATGAGTCTTGTTTTCCCATAGACTTACATTATATAATTTTCAATTGGTGTTTTATGGAAGAAATATTCTTCAAAATTCTATCAAAAAATTGTTTGCCACTTGAATTGGATTCAGTGAATGTATTTTCAACTCAATATGAACATTTGGAGCATTGAATAGTGTATCTTGGTACTGTATATTGAAACGTTGGCATCTACAAAAATAACATTAAAGTCACAAAGGGAGAAGGAAGTCCGTCTATACAATAAGTAATATTTTTTAATTAGCTGAATGGAGGGGAAAATGATGGGAGAAATGACAAAGAATTTTTCTTGCATGAATCTTTTGGTTAGAAATATCTGTTTCTTGCAATCAAGCCCAATAAAAGTCAATTTTCCTAAAATGTACCGGCAATTTTATCATGCAACATTGTCATGTTGAGTCAGTGTCCCTATGTTGGGCCTTTTTTATGATTTTTTTTATTGAAAAATAAATGTCATTATGTTGAATTGTCCCCATGTCAAGGTGTCCGCATGTGGGGGTCTCACTGTATATAAAACATAATGAACTAATGAGATTTAATGAAAAATTAGTGAAATTTTGCAAACTTAGAAGCAGAGGAAATTCACACTCCTTCAGGAATTAAATTTATTTTTGCATCACATTTCCTACTCTAAATGTTTTCCCATTTGAGAATCTATTGTCATAGAATTATAAAATTTTCACAAATTTTCAAGAATGTTCAAACAAAAAATTCAGGGATTTTTCCCTTTCTCTCTCTCTTTTGTTTGTGAACTTGACTCGAGTTTTTTTTTTTCTCAAGTCAAACGCGGGTTCTTCAGGTAAAACGTTCGTAGCCAAAGGACCCACTGAACACCCCGAACGAAAACTATGCATAAAAATAAACACCGAAGATACTCACGACCACCATCTCAAAATCGATTCGAATCTCGGTCTTCTAAACTTGTATTTATCCGCCACTTCGTCCTCGTACATATTCACAGTCCTGGAATGTCCCGCAGAGCCACTGTCCACATCAACTTGTCTCCGAACTGATGCGCCTAAAACAACAAAAAATTCGATTTAATTTGAAAATCAAATTGAAGGAGAAAAATCCCTGAATTTTTTCTGTAAACCTTCTTAAAAATTTGTGAAAATTTTATAATTCTCTGACAATAGATTCACAAATGGGAACACATTTAGAGTAAAATATGTGATACAAAAAGAAATTTAAATCCTGAAGGAGTTTGAATTTCCTCTGTGCTTCTAAGTTTGCAAAATTTCACTAATTGTTCATTAGATCTCATTAGTTGATTATGTTTTATATACAGTGAGACCCCCACATGCGGACACCTTGACATGGGGACAATTCAACATAATGACATTCATTTTTCAAATAAAAAATCATAAAAAAGGCCCAACATAGGGACACTGACTCAACATGACAACATTGCATGATAAAATTGCCAATACATTTTAGGAAAATTGACTTTTATTAGGCTTAATTGCAAGAAACAGATATTTCTAACCACAAGATTCATGCAAGAAAAATTCTTTGTCATTTCCCCCAAAATTTTTCCATCCATTGAATAACACGTTCCAGAATGGCAAAACGTGATTAGGAATACTGTGTAAGAAAAAACAAAAGCGAGCGTCAGAATTTCAATATGCTGTACACAATAACTTCAACCTCTCCCCGTCAATTTTTTTTCAAAACCATGTTCCCTTTTTAAGAATGCTGTAAAAAACCTCCTCAACTCGAAGATATTCCCTCTTAAACCTCTGTAAATCAAATTCTCTGAAGCCTTTTGGCCATTCCTTCTTGATACAAAAAAATAAAAAATAAAAAGTTCACTGGATGTGTTTTGAAAGGAAGTGAAAGACTATTTGGGCAAATGAACCCTAGCCTCCAAGTTCAGCATATTTTTTCAACTCAACCAAGAATCATTTCAAGGCCCAGAGATATCATTAATTACGATTTCTTGTAATTCTTTCTTTCTTTCCGCCAATAAAAATGCTTGTTTCCCCCAAAAGCATAAACCTCCCCAAACTCAATTTATTTTATTTTTTGCTGGTCCCTTGAAATTCGACTCCACACTATCATTGAATAATGAATGAACAGAACACTTTATTTGCCAATTTTCAGCATTTACAAGGTTCACTCAAGATTTCCACAACCAAACCCCCCTTCCCACCCAACCCAAATCCACTCAATGACATTTTAATCCCCTCAGAGCAGGAAAGCACAAATTGCTAACATAAATAAAAGAAAATACAATACAACAACAGAGGTTCGTCGAGAGGTGTTTTATTTTTTGCGCCTCTGGGCTTCCCGAGGTTTATCATTTTTTTGCTGCTTTTGTGGAGCCGAGCATTTTACGTTGGTTTAGTTGAATGAACAAATTACAGAGAATCTTTGTTGAGAAATCATATAAAGCCAACAATTTATCCTGATCCTTTAAGATTTCAGAAAGGGTCTCTTCATTGAATTCCTGTACTTGTAAATCTATCTTAAGCTTGTTCTTATCAGTATGAAATGCTGGATATGAGAAGAGAAGGTGCTCTGGTGATGCGCAAACTAATGTTTTTATGCTGCAGGTGTTACACCACTTAGGACACTTTTGAAAATTGGATGATTTTTTACGAAAGTGCCATGAATTTGTCAAAAATAGCTACAGTATCATTGAATAAATTAGCTGTACCTGCATGTAAAGGTTCGCGATGGTGCTGAGGCTTCTCCACGCCCGAAGAAGCAACGGAATGCGCACTGAATCTCTGCTTGCCGCCATGCGTCTCCACATCTTCGTTTATACTCGGAGATCCTAGAGGCTCTGGACGCGAAAAGGTCATTCCGGAATCTCCCACATCCGCCAACTGTTTTGCAAACATTGAATAAAAGAAATCATTTAAAAAAATCCATCGGTACCAAAAATTCTACCAAGCCGAGAAACACAGCGATTCACGGAATTATAGACCGCAGTTATTCCTCAGGGAAGCGGGGGGTCAAACAGGAATGAAATAAAACACCACGGGACATTTTCTGAAGAAAAAGTGCTAGAAAGAATTTTAAAAACGGAAGAGCGAAAAATTCGTTTTGAAGTCATGGGTTAGTGTTCCCCAGCCCGTGGTAGAAGTCTTTTGCTGGTCTTCGGGAAAATTTGTTCAGCATAATGAATTAATAAAAAAGTAGCAATGAAGTCTGTTATCTACATCTGAAATTTTGGCAAGACAAATGGCAGTTGAAATTATCCAATGAAAACATACAAGTTGGGTTTTTTCCCCAAGAACACTTCGGAAAAATTTTCACCTCCTGAAATGAATCATTTCAATTTTACATTCTGAGAAAACTTCCTTCAAGTCCAACTTTTTAATTTTCTGAAGACATTCCACCATAGACTTCTCAACTTAATTTTGGCAAAAAAAGCGGAAACTTTTAAATACCTGCCATGAAGTCTTTCAAACAAAACTTTTTCGAGTCTGCAAAAATTTCATGAACTTTGCTGATCTCCAGAAATTTTCCTTCTGGAAATCGCTGGTCCGCAAAAAATTCCACGGAAATTTGCCGGTCCATGGGCCCAAAAAAAAAAAAAATTGGGGAACGCTCTACTGTACTAGATAATTTGACAACCCGTACTCCAATATTTCACGCACTTCTTGATTTTTAAATAAGAACAAAACAACCTAAACCAACGTAAAATGCTCGGCTCCACAAAAGCAGCAAAAAAATGATAAACCTCGGGAAGCCCAGAGGCGCAAAAAATAAAACACCTCTCGACGAACCTCTGGAAGTCCCATGATATTCCGGGCCCAATTGGCTTTCATCAGGACATCTTTCAGGTTGTCAGCAACCGGCGAAACCATGTTCGTCGGGGGAAACAAGCTCTTCCCACAAGTCGGACAACAGAAACTGGCTTCACTCGGCGTTCCTTCCTTCGCAGTCACCTGCTTCCCCATTTCATGCAAACAATGCTGATGGAAAACGTCTGCAAATAAGGAACAAAGAAAGATGCTAGAAAAAAATTCGTAGTCTCTCCAAAAATTAGCAGACCCCGGAACGTATCACTCACGATAGCAAATGAGACGGATGCATCCAGCAGCGTTCAATCCTTTTTTGCAAAGTTCACAGACGGGAATGTAGTCGTTGTCCTCCAGCCATTGGAGGTAGGACTGCACTATGCACTGAGAAGAAAAATAAATTTATTTAGATACGAAATTCAGAGAAAAAAATATTTCCTCAAAAAATGAATACTTCAAGTTGAAAATTTATAAAAATATTGTACTCAAAAAAGATTGGGGAAACTTCTTCAATAGAAAAAATGTTCTAGATGACAATACGAAGGCAAGAAAAAATGATCTGTGAATTTATTTAAATACGAAAGGTTTTCGATTTCCATACGCACTTCAGAGAAAAAAAATTTCCTCAAAAAATGAATACTTCAAGATGAAAATTTATCAAACTATTTGTACTCAGAAATTATTGAGAAACTTCTTGAATATAAAAAGTGTTTGATGTCAATACGCAGGCAAGGAAAAATGATCTGTGAATTTATTTTAAATACTAAAGGTGTTAGATTTCCATACACAGTCCACAAAAAAAATTTTTAAAACCACATGAAAAGTGTGTTTTAATCGAAATATTCTGAACTAATCGTGAAATTTCTTGACCACAAACGGTGTTCGATTTTCTATACGCAGTCAAAAGAAAGAAAAAATCCCCAACATATGAAAATTTATTACAACAAATGTTTCGCCAGATTCAAAACCAAACGAAAACCTTCTTGAATGACGCACAGTACTCGATTTCTAGACGGAGTCAAAAAAAAAAATTACCACCAAACTTCATTCTACGGACTTTTCGACACATTCAAAACAAATTTTGGGCTTTCTTGAATACGAATGGTGCTCGATTTTCACAATCAGCCCAGAGAAAACAAAAATTGAAACAAAATGAAAATTCAATTCAAAAATTTCTCTACCCGCCTAATTTTTTCGACGCATTCCAAACGAATTTGGAAAATACAAAAATAATAATTCATGAAATTTTTACGAGTTTGAAATTGCCGCATCTGAGCAACAATTATTACTCTAGAATCAGGGACTTGGAGCGGAGCTGGAGCCCGGAGCCTGGAGCCCGGAGCAGAGCGATTTTAGCCGGAGCGGAGCGGAGCCCGGAGCAGGCAAAATTTTTGGCTGCTCCGGGCTCCAGGCCTCAAATAAAATTTGAAAAATTTGGGGAGAACCCCCCGCCATATGTGACTGTTTGGCTGGCACCAGTCAACAAAACTACCTCCCTCCAATTCAGTCAAGTCCTCAAACCCTGAACAATCTTCGCCTTGTTGCTCTTATTAGATTGAGAGAGGGGTTATCCTGAATCCATTTTTTTCTCAACATCCTCAAAGATGTGGATGCTTGTGTGCTACACAAGTATCCCATGGTTTAAGTTGAATTTATTTTTCAATGGAATCTAAAAAATGGGTTAGTTTGTGAGATATACAAGGGGTCTAACAAAAGTTCTTGGAATATAATTTGAAAAGGCCTACACATGAGCTGAAAAACAATTATTCTTTATGAAAATATGTTCTTTGGCACAAGAAAAAAGTCAGCCCTATTTGACCGTAAAAAACTTACAAAACGTTTTCAGTGGGACCGTCTCAAGGTGAGTTTTCTACTCCGCGGGAAGGACGTCTAAAACGACAACATCGGGTCGAAAGGAGAGTCTTAAGAACTTTAGTTGTATCGTAAAATTCCAAGAGTTGCCTCCAGGTCTTCCAAGGTAATTCACATTATAGTTTGGCTGGTGCCAGCCAACAGTAGTCCCTCCCCTTGAATAAGTCATTAACATCTTGCTGGAAATATGCATCCCCTGGTTGCTCTACTGCAGTAAAGGTGGACATTTCATGCTCAATACTCTGGACCAGTGTCCCCCAAATGTTTTTGGCCCACAGACCAAGAAATTTTCAGAATTTTTTTTTGTGGACTGGCACATTTCAAAAATAATTTCTGCACACTGGCAAAGTTTCATATTTGCAAACATTTTTGCAGACTCAAAATTGTTTTGCTTGAAAGACTTCATGGGAGGTATTTAAAAAGTTTGTTTGATTGAAAAAATTAAGCCAAAAACCAATGATGCAGCTACAGTACAGTGGAATGTCTTCAAAAATTTAGAGAAGTCAGCTTAAAGAAAGGTGTCTCTGAATACAAATCAAAATAATTTGTTTCAGCAGGTGAACTTTTATCTGAAGTATTATTAGGAGAAAAGCCCACTTTTATTTTTCATCTAATTCAAACTGCAATTATCTTTCTGAAATTTCAGATAAAAATAACAGACTTCACTGCTCCTTTTGATTTATTATGCAGAGGAAAATTTCCTGCAGGCTTAAAAAAACTTCTGCGGACTGGCACTGGTCTGTGGGCCATGGGTTGGGGAGCACTATTCTATCTATGAAGATGCAGGGGACCAGAAAAAAATGTTCCTCAGATTTACGAAAATGTCTTGGAGAAATTATATCCATCACCGGGTATACCCGGATGTGAACATAATATCGACTTATATTTGGATATAATATCGTGAATATAAATTGACAAAGATCATAATTTCCAAACCCTACTGTGATGGAGTTTTATTACTATACATTCAAGTCTGTTTTCCTAGTCTGTGAAAAAAATTTAAAAATTGGTATGGCCTATAGAGCACAAATTTATACTGTAATTAAAAATCTATATAATGAGATTATTGATGAAAATTAGTTTGTAAAAATAAAATCTTCATAGCATTGTTCCTGTGGAACAAGTGCTGGGACCAAGAAAAAATTGTTATGGCAAAAAAAAATTATGAAAAGTTATGTTATTGTTATGGTGGAAAGAGTCCGGAGCCCTGGAGCACAGGATTGTGTCCAGAGCGGAGCAAAATTTTTTTTTACCCTGCTCCAAGTCCCTGCTTGCAATTCCATCCTTGCCCCGCAATTCAACCTGCTTTGGCCTTTTTTTCTTTTGCATTTTTGTGCTGATATGTTTGAACTTCAGGAAGTGTCTGGCAATTTATGAACCACTTCACACTTTGACCTTAGTTTGGTGACAGATTGAGGTCAAATTGCAAGGTATGTGGAATACCCATATTTACTGGAGTACCACGCGCACCTTTTTTCTCAAATTTCAGAAGAAAAAAAAGGCAGCGCCTCATAAGTGGGTACAAAATTTTCAAGAAGTTTTAGGAAGTTGTATGTTAATTATACTTGATTATAATTGAGAAATTTGTGACAAATTTACCAAAAAAACTTTTTTTTTTACTGAAAAATTGATCAGATTCATGTTCAATTCATGTCAAAAGTCAATTTTTTTACTATTCAAAATTTTGTGGTTTTAAAGTCACTGAAAATGGGGTGCGCGTCTTACTCGGGGATACAATTTTAGCCACATTTTTAACTGAAAAATCCCTGTGCGCACCTTCTTACTTGAGGGCGCAGGGTGCTGGAGTAAATATAGTACTCTGCAACAGTGTTCCCCAACTCTTTTGGGGCCAGGGTGGACCAGCAAAATATTATAAAAATGTTTGCAGACTGGCAAATTCCCAGAACATTTTCTGCAGACCAAGAGAGTTTCATTAAACTTTTTGCAGGATCAAAAAAGTGTTGCATGAAAGACTTTATGAAAGTTGAAAGGTATTTGGAACTTTCTGCTTTTTGCAAAAATTAAGTTAAACACCATTGAAGAAACTATAGCTGAGTGTCATCAAAAAATTCAGAAGGTGGGCTTGAAAAAGTGTTACTTCAAATGAAAAAATAATAATTACGACCAGGGGAACGTTTGTCTGAAATGTCATTTGAAGAAAAGCCAACTTTTGTTTTCATCAGATAATCCAGGTGCCATTCTCCTTCCAAAAGTTTAAGTAAAGAGAACAGACTCCATCCCCACTTTTCAATAATGTATTATGCTGAAAATTTCCCAAGTGCTGGGAAAAAAACTTTTGCAGACCAGCATCAGTCTGCGCCAACCACAGGTTGGGGAACACTGCTCTGCAACTTTTGTATACATGTTACAGCATGAATACATCAGCACAATAATCCAACACATGTCCAAAATACACAGCATGTGATGGATGAGTTGAACAATGAAAATGGCAGGTATACATACTTGAGTGACAGGAGAACCCCAAGATATGCTGTGAAATAGTCTCCATCGCCCTCAGCCAAGGTTGGATTTGCTGTCATCCCGACTTCCACAAAAACCACAAAGTTGGCCTCTTCTTCTTGAGCAGTTAATCTCAGGTGGGCTAATCCAAGGGAAGAAGGTCAATATTTTTCATACCTTACAATGGAATTGTTGGGTCAACAATCTTGATTGGTTTCAGATAAAAGTTTACTAACTAATTGATTTGAAAATCATGTATCAATAAATGCCGCTAAAACAAATATTGAAGCGCAAGATTACACAAATTAAAGTGCCATCGGAAGGTAGGAATGTTCACATCAGTGAATTGGTCAATTATTTGCACCTACATTATTCCATACATTTCATGCATCAAAATTAAATTTGGAATAATTCTCAAGCATAAGGAATTTCCCCAAGGAAAGAAGTTTATTAGCAAAATTTCGATTCCTCAAGTGAGAAAATTTTCCTGGAAACCAAAAGTTTGTTAAGCAGGGGTCCACTGTATTATTTACTGCATAGTCAAAGGCATAAACACCTTTGGATCCCGCTCACTAGATTTTTCAGGGTTTAAAACTTTTTTAATTTCATCAATTTAATAGTTACCTATGGTGTCAATTCTGACCTTCAACCAGGAACCAATCTGAAATTCCTGACTATATCTACGTTTTTCCCCCCTGGGGAAAACAAAAAAAATTGCTTAAATGTTTGACTATATGATGAGTATACCTCCAACATTCTTTGTTTGAGCTTCTAAAGTTTGAAAAAAGGTTTCCTGCTTATAGATACAATACTGTATATATATATATATATATACAGTATACGCTTCAAAATACGCCATTTAATTAACCTTTTGAAATTATCCAGAATAAATAGGGATGATTTGTCGGAAATGATGTTGCTCTTCATTGCTTACATATAGTGAGCTGTGTTTCTGGTCCGCGTGGAATCGTGCAGAAATGCAGATAATCCAGCGAATGTTTGAAGGTGAATTACTTTACTTTTATTCCACGACTTGAGCATGATGAAGATATGCGAAAGCTCAATTTCATCCTTCATTGTATCAAAATGTATTTTTTGGTCTGGATTATACAGGACAATATCATGCGAGTTCGTAAACAAGGTAGTTTTCATAATAAAATGAATCAACTCACCTTGCGCCAGATGAGTTGAGATGGCAAGAATCACCAACAGCAGAAAATTCATCTTTGCCGAATAACGCGAAACAAGTTTATATATTTTCTATTCTAAAGAGAAAAATGAGCTTGTTTGGTTGAATAATAGGCCAGTCACGGTGCTATATATACAAGAGAAAAAGCCACAATGAATAATTTTTCAAGCTCAGAGGTACTGTTTTCATATTTCATTTGAAAATATTGATCAAGGCAGAATGTATTGAATTTTCAAACTACTCATGACGTATTGTCTAAGAAAATAAGAATTCATGAAAGATTCCTCAATGTTTTGCAAAATCTTCAAATTTGTTGTAGAGTAATTTCAATAAATGATAGAGAGTATATCAGCATGCAACAAAAAAGTATTGTTTTTAAATAATTCAAAATCAAAATTAAATTTTTTCAACATTCACCCTGATGGCTTTTATATGTCAGCTTGGGGATGTGATCCTCAGTTAATAGTCTTCTAACTCATTGATATCCCTGGAAAAAAAATACCTGGATTATATCAATCAATCGTTGTTTAATAAAACGATTTTACCGTGTGTATTCTGTCCCAGGGTAAGATTAAAGACAAGGACAAAACTGAGTTTTTATATGGCTTTTTTCATTATAAATTTAAATCACTGAAAAGAGGGATTTTATCATGGGATTGATGAGAGACTAATAAGAGTTTTAAGGGTGATGTTAACACTGATGATGAGGTAAAGCAGTATTTCTCATAAGCTGTTCACTTTTGGTGCAGTTGCTCCACCAAAAGTCAACAGCTTGAATAAGAAACACTGCTTCAAAAAGTTAACAGCTTTGGAAAACCTTTGGTGAAGTTTCATTTTATTCCAGCAGACATACATGCATGCATCACAGCAGTGTACATCATGGATGTATGTCTGGAATAAAATGAAACTCCACCGAAAGTTTCTCATCACGAAACAAATGACTGAGTAACTATAACGGCAGACACCCGACTCGTGGCTGGCTAATGGAATCGAGAAACACTGAAATGTGTCGAAACCGAGTCAAGATTTCCACTTTTTATGTTGCTCAAAACTTGATTTCTTTCCTTATATGCCTCGTCCTACATCCTGCGACGCACAAGCAAGCAGCAGGGGGAGGGAAAGAGACACCGAAAGACTGTGTTTTTCCCTTGAGCAAAACGTGGGGGAATGAAGAAGAAAAAGGAGAAAACCGAGTGGATTTCGCCGTGAACGCTTGATTTCTCCATTTGAGTTGCACCATGACACGTACAGCAGGAGGGGAGAAACAAGTACTGTATAACAGCGCAGGCGGGCTTTACATTTTGCTTCACCGCCTTCTTTCTCCCAGCAGTAACGATTTTTTTGCTATTTTTCCTCGACTGCTGTCTTTTGTACATTTATTCGAAGAAAAGAAATTGTCACCGTGCACAGAGAGAGAGAGAGAGAAAAGACAAGGTTTTTCATTATTCCAGTTTGATGGACGAGTTCCAAGAAAACGTCAATTTTTCTTGTTGCTGGCATCTGAAAATGATAAATTCTGCGCGTACTCATCACCCATGCCTATATATACAGTACTGTACAGTATTTAATTTGACAAACGTGTCCTTTTTTGATGCAGAGTTGACACATGCTGAGAACGATATTATATCTGCCCTGAAATACATGCGGCCTTTATTGTCACCCAACTTATATACGGAGAACGACAGTGAATGTATAATAATTTAACGGATTCGCATCTTTCTTTTTTTTTTAATTAATGGAAAATGCTTGGGAATTTTTAAACATCGTTTTTTGTTTGTTCTTGAATGATTTCGAATGGTTCTCATTTGGACCCTGGATCATTAATCTAACGCCGGGACTCGATTCCGCGGTGACCAAAAATAGTTCACTACCTGGATTTTTCTGGGCATTTTCTCGTCCATCTTTGCTGATTTTCCGGACGAATGTCTGTCGAAATCGAGTCAATGAAATGAAGAATGATAATTTCATGATAGATCCTTCAAAATATTTAATATCAGACGTCAGACTTTTTTTTTTCAGAGCTTCTGCTGGGCGCCAAGAGACAAATTTTTGGATTTCTTATTGTTACATTCCCCAAATCTCTCGAATGTTCATCTGAAATTCGTGATACAGTAATTATGCGACCAACTATACTCAGAATACCACGCAATGATTCACAAGGTTTCTCAGCAGTTTTTATTTTTTCTTATTAAGTGCGTCAATTTTTCACACAAAAAAAGGTAAATATACGTTGTATCGTATTTACTGATTTATTTTTTGTGGAGAATTTCGCCTGAATTCCTCTCAAATATTACGGTACAGTACGTCGAAATATGCCGAGGCTCTGGATTTATGCGAATGCATTTTTTCATCGTGTTCTGCATCTTTTTTTTTTCTTCATGATGAGATGTGATGATGAATAGAATTGGGTTTTCATTTTCCGCCCATGTTTTGCAGAGGTCTTGCCTGACGAGACTCACTGATGATGGCTCGGACCGCAACCTGCCCCAAATCAAATCCATGGGAGAACTGCTGAAACGCGGGGATCGGAGTCCATCATTCGGGGATTTTGCCGATCGTCGAAGAAATCGTCGAACTCCTGATGTTTGGTCGCGGGCTCGTGAAATTGCTCTTCGCCCGTACCGAAACCTTCGCCAGCGTGGGCGTGAACATGCTTGCGAGAACATCTGTGGTGTTTGGCAGCATCCGGAAGCAGGACGGAACCCAGTTTCGGGACTTGTTGCCCTCAGAATACACGCAGATGGCGGGAATAAAAGACGAGGCCTGGATGCTGGAATAACGTCGCCAGGCCCAACCTCGTCAGCCAGGAATAATGTCGTCATGAACTAAGCTCGTCGTGGAATATCTTCGTCAGGTATAACATCGTCTTTATGTTCTACCCGAGATGTTGGGACTTGAGGAATATTTTGCTGTAAGAGGTTGGTCCAGTTGTGAAGTGCCCGAAGATTTTTTTTCACGAGTTTGTTCCAGGATAGGCTTGACGACAGTAATCGGGTGTTGGAATTACGACGTTATTCCACGCCATCCCGGGATGTGCGGGAGTTGGGGGTCTTATGCAAAACATGATGCTGGGCAGAGCAACGCAGTTGGAGTCCAATAAGTTCCAAGAAAATGTCAATTTTTACTGTCGCTGCAATCGGATACTGAAATAGTAGATTAAAAAATTAATCTAAAAAACCACGTTTTCAAAAAGCAAA